TCCCTTTCGCCTCCCTGCATTGTGCCTACATATGCAAATTAACCGCCATCTTGTTGGCAGTTAACTGCCAATCTTAGTTGGCAGTTAATTTGCATATAGCCCTGATTAGCCAATGAAAAGGGTAGCGTTGTATGCCAATTACCATTTTTCTCTTTTATTAGTGTAGATTAATGCAAAGACCAGCTACACGGCAGGTAGTGTATCATGTGAACCGAGAGCAAGAAAACTTGTCCCATCAAGACACTGGGAACCCCTTCACTGCTCTGGAACAATGAGAGCCAACGGCCTGCAGAGTGAAAAACCTGGGCTCATTTTTTAAATAACCGATTGCTGGACAACCTTTAGGGTGGCAGGTCGCTTTCCCTATTGGAACACATCTGCCAATCCACCCAGTCATCTGGCCGGCACCGCGGGACTCCACTGCTGACAGGACCATGACCTTTCACGCAGGCAGTGTGGGGGCCCAGCTTCTTTAAGACATGACACGCCTACTGGAGGGGGACAGTCTGTTCCAGGTCTGCACACAAGCCACTGAACGTGGCCTCGAACAAGGGGACCAGGGAGGACAGAGAAACCCGCCCCACAAATAGCCCACAGGGAGCACAGGCAGGCTCCTCTACAGCCAGGCTCCCCTACAGCCGGGCTCCCCTACAGCCGAGAGACTGAGCCAGCGGCTCAGCAGGTGCACACCCCTCTGCACTCACCGCGGTCGCTGGGCCACTCCCGGAAGATCTGTAAGGGGCACTCGTCATCGTCAAGGACCATTTCCTTAGCACCTTTATCATCAGAATGCTGGGCTCCAGGAGGGAGCATAACCTAAAACAAAGCCATCCACTGTGACTGTCCCGCAGAAGTAAATCGCAGGCATTTAAAGAAAGAATCATGGTCTGGGGGCAAACAGAAGTCACTGTGAAAGCAAACTGGTCAAACACTCTACCTGTGCAGGCCAAGTAACACCTGGAAGGACATAGAGCGAAATGTGAATCGCTCCTCCCCCTGATAGAACTATTGGTGACCTTTATTCCCAGCCTGCCTCCTTTCTTCCCTCACTTCGCACAGGAGCACGGTAACGTGTGTGACGGGAGAGGGAATGCTCTCCTGTGGCTGTAACACATGGGTTTTCATTCTAAACTGCACAGGGGAAGGAATCAATCAGCTCAGGGGCAAGCTCACTGGCAAGTTCTCGCTGGCGCCACGGGCGGCGCTGCCGCAGCCACTCACCCGAGCAATGCAGTAGTCCTTCGGGTTCTCCTTCTCCAGGCCATACTTCTCCAATGCTTCGGCCACCGCGAAGTCCGCAGGGTCCGTGGTGGACAGCAGGATGGTCTTGTAGGGGATATTTGGTCGTAAACTATCTGCATAAATCCTCAACGTCCCACCTGGAAGACATCAGACGTCTCTGAGCACAACTTCACTCCAGTAACAGGCAGCGGGCGTTTGCAATCACTTGAGAAAAAAAGGGCGCCCAAGTTCTCGCTGCAATGGAGGCCCATAGGGAACGGCCGCAATTCCATCTTCATCTCCTACTGGGGGCACACACGACCCAGTGACTCTGCCACAGCGCACGCCTGGCAGGGGACAGTGCACTCCTGGCCTCTCCAGCCCCATGGTCTCAGGACGGGGAACAGACTCCTGCGAGGGTAAGGGACGGAGCGAGGAGGAAGCGAGTGGACAGTCCTGCGGCTTCCTCCAGGGCTGTCCCGTGTCCTCACCTTCCCGTCACACAGCCATTCCCCGTCTCTACCTTCTCACCATCGACCTGAGACAAATTAAAAACCCGGATAAAGTTCATGCGCACCCCACTGACTACACCAGTTGGAAAAGACTGAACTGGACGCCAGGAGACGTTGGTGTTTCAGAAGAGACCTGCCGCCAAGCACTGGGCCGGTGTGTACGCCCAGGACTCACACCAGCACCCTTTCCAGCTGTGAACTAACTTGGGAGGGAAAACCCACCAGGGCAGAGCAACGCAATATCCTGGGATCTTCGTTGTTGTTTGTAAGTTTTTAATGGAATTCTACAGAGATCTACTTTGGTGTCAAAGTGTGCGTTCTACTTATGATCAAACTACCATGTGACAAGTTGACTCAGTAAAAACACTCGGTCTTTAACGAAACCGCACTGTACTGGGCCACAGACCTGCTGGCCCAGGCTGTCAACACGTGTGACCATGAAAACCCATGCAGATCCCGGGGCCCATGGTCACTGAACAGGCGAGTGTGCTTGCCTGGCATCCAGGTGTGAGGAGGTGCTGGGGGAGGGTGACTAACGGAAACAAGTAACTGAAGACGGTGTCCGCGCTGTGAGAAGCACAAGCCTGGCGGGGAGGAGCACCGGGACCCTGAGCTCTGGGACAGGTGAAGGCCCTGTGCGGGGTCCACGCTGGGCAGGGGCCCCGAGACCAGGCTCAGAACGGCAGCCTCCGCGAGGTGTGCCACCAAGTCCTCGCTCCACCCCATGTCCACATCAGCTGCTCTAGATTTGAAGCTTAAGCTACGTTAAAGCTTCCTGAACCCCCGTTTACACTCTTCAGCAGCTCATCCTCATATCCTATGGCACAGAGAGCCCCCCTAGGTCTGGAACGTGGTTAGCGCACGGAGGTGTTAATGAGCGTTCCTCTTGCCCTTTTAAAACTTTACCACCTTCCTTTTCCTTTTTTTGTTAATCCTCGCCCAATGCTGTTTCTCCATCGATTTTTAGAGAGGGGGGGTGGGGGGGGGACACATCGATTGGTTGGCCCTGCAGGGAACAGCGCTCTGTGAACAGGGCTCTTACACGGGGGCCCACACTGAGTCAGGACCAGACACAACATGCACTTGTGAACAGGCCACGTCATCTGTTCACTCAACTTCGCGGGCTCTGCTCCTACACGGGTAGCTACTAACTCGGTTCACAACAAGCGACGGGAGACCGGAAGCCTGACCTGAGTCGGGCCGCCCGTCCGAGCTGCGGAACTCCTGCATCCTCTTCTCCAGCTTCTGCTGCCGCCGCCGCTTCATGACCACCTCGGGGTTCGAGATGGTGCGGGTGAAGCTGGTTTCGGGCATGTCTTTGTAAACCTCAGCAGCCAGGCGAGAATTCTCTCTGTGAGAAACAAGGACACCAACACCATCGAAACACTCTGCGTCAGAAACCGTAACACTGTGACATCAACACCTGGAAGGGCAGCTGGTGCGGGCTCACCGCGCAGCCACAGCTAATGTGGACAGAGCGCACTTTCTCAGTACAAACTGACAGGCCGAACTAAGTAAACTTACAGTTCAAATCCTATGGTGAGTTTATACCGTTAATTACTGTGTATTAACAAAGCTCCGGAAAAGGTATCAATTATACATCTCAGCAATCTCCACCCATGTTACCCTAAAACAGACCAAATGAGTGACACCACAGCCCAAGCCCAAGAAATAAGATGGACTCTACATGTTTTAACAACTACAAGGCTCACCAAGGTTCACTTCCTTGAAGCTAAGTTTTCAGAAGGGAATTGCCACAATGGTTCCTATGAGGGGTCAGCTGTACAGAGGGATGCGCTAAAAACTAAATATGAAGGGAACACTGACGTACTGGACTAAAGTTTGATGCTATTGAAGATGACATTCTCAATCATAAAAATAAATTTTTTAAAATATATTTTTATTGATTTCAGAGAGGAAAGGAGAAGGAGAGAGGGAGATAGAAACATCAATGATGAGAAAGGATCATGGATCGGCTGCCTTCTGCACACCCTACACCGGAGATCAAGCCCGAAACCTGGGCATGTGCCCTGACCGGGAATTGAACTGTGACCTCCTGGTTCATAGGTCGATGCTCAACCAACCACTGAGCCACACCGGTCGGTCATCAATCATAAAAATCACTTAATTAACAACCAGTCTTTGATTCCATCAAGCTGAGTGACTTAATGCATTTTAAATAGCTAATTTTCTTAAAAATAATATATCACATCTCATAAACTAAATTGATAAAAAAACAAACCTTCACCAAGGTTCTAAACCCGGGGTAGGCAAACTTTTTGACTCGAGGGCCACAATGGGTTCTGCAACTGGACCGGAGGCCGGAACAAAAGCATGGATGGAGTGTTTGTGTGAACTAATACATGTTAACACTGCTGCTGGTGAAGGAGCGGAGGGGAGAGCAAGAGAACCGGCCCGCGGGCCGTAGTTTGCCCACGGCTGTTCTAAACTCTTCTTTCCTTTGGTGCTGCTCACATATGAGCAATGTATTCATACAAGCCCTTTCTCATGTAGAACCGCCTTAACAAAGCCCTGCCATGTGGTACAAGACTCAGGAGTTCTTCCGTGGGCAGCAATGCCTAGCAGGTCAGCACTGAAGCCCACGGTAACACACTGAAGCCGGGCTGCAATTCCACGCTAAATAAATGCCATCCCTGACTAATGGCTGAGTCCTCAGTACAGAACATGCAGAATCAATCAAAAGTGGGGGAAAAGGCCTGAGAACTGAGGGCTTCATGGCAACAGAAGCATGAATAGAAGTGGTTAATGAACACGTCGACAGGCATCACCTTGCTAATGATAAACTCTATTGACTGAAGATGTTCTACACTGAGAGCGAGCATGCTCTGGCACCAGCAGTGCTGAGGGCACGAGGAGCTGAGGGTGTGGGGGGCTTATGGGGGTGCACCTGGCAGCAAGCCCCCGAGCTGTCCCCAGCCATTCTTCCCCAGCAAACCCTAAGGGAACAACGAGACGAGCCCCCACCGTTCTGGAGCAAGGAGAGTCAGTGGAGCATTATTAACACCAAGACCGTGAGCACCCACAAGCACCAGAAGAGCTGGTCCCATGCGTTTTGGGAAAACTGTATGAGAGAATACAGTGTAACACTTAGATCACTTAAAATACACCTATTTGTGACTACAGGTAGATCTGCGAATATATTTTAATGTGAACTATAAATTACACTCATTAGTGGGGAAACGTCATGTGGGAAGTTCTAGCTCTGAGACTGTGACTGTATTTCATAAACAGGAAGTGTGTGCGTCTGTGGAGCAGACACAAACTCTGGTCCTTCAGCTCAGGTGATGGCAGGGACTCCTTCCCTCTGGGAAGTCTACAGACTCCTCCTTTACAAGTGAACTCCTCCGCCCTCAGTGGAGAAACGCGATACACAGACGACTGCGCAGTCGGCACCAAGGAGAGCGAGTATGAGCCCCGGGCACAACCGGGGCGACCTGGACAGAGCTGACAGGCGGCACACAGACCTGGAGACCCCCATGAGGGGAAGTCACTTCTCCCAGCCTCACTCTCTGTGCGAATGGAAGCGCAATGGCTCCCTGCTCCCTCGGCTCTGAGGTCAGAAGCCCACGCCCCTGTGCAGGTCAGGACGCCCAGGACGGGCTGGGTGGCAGGCGGAGGAATGGGAGTCAGTGCACGTGGCCCTTTAAGGGACCGGGCTGCTCTCGCTGCCCGTGACAACTCTGAGCGTGTGGTAAGGGTATGTGAGGTGCATAAGAAACCACTGTTGCCTAAAGGACTCCAAAAGCAGAAATAAAAGGCAGGCCGGGTGAAGGTGGAGAGAAGACGTGGACAGCCATGTCCACTCGGAAAGAGCAGCACTGTGGACCGGCCGGCCTGCTCACGGGTCACTCAGTGAGTGACAGGTGCTGTCAGCAAGCAGCTCCAGCAGCAGGGCCCCGTCCGCCCACATTCCCCGACCGGACTGTCCGCGGCATTCACACCCCTGGCTCAGAACAAAGAAAGGCGCGTGTCTCCCACGTAACTCACATGTCTTCCCCTCGGAAAGGCCCGTCCTCTCTGTCGGGTGCCTGTCTCAGGGCCTCTTTTTCTCGCTTCTTTTTCTCCTTCTTTTCTTTCTTGGAGAGAGTCCGCTTGAAGTTCTGGATAACGCCTTCCTTTTCCTGCTTTTCAGGTCCATTGCTCTGAGCCTTCTGACAGAAGGGACATGATCACTACGCTGGCTACGACAGAACCACGTCAAGCTCACCTGGGGCCGAGCCCAGCTCATCCATGCGCCGCGGCACAGCCACTGGCCCGGAGTGCCGGGGCAGTCCTCCAGTTCCACTGGGCTGACCGTTCCGTAAGCGCAGGCATCAACTCTTAATGAGTTACATGCCACTGTCTGTGCATCTCACTGTGTGTGAACTTTAGCACAACTCACAACTGCTAAGCAAACAAGCAGGCAAGTCCAGCAGGAAACTGGGGTGAGAATCATGAAATCTGATTTTCAATAAATAAAAATTCAAATAGTTTACAGAGAGTAATTTGAATAAAAGAAACCTAATAAAAATACAGAGATAACTGAGCATTAAGTCATCATCTACTTTATAGCGTTTCTAACTGCAGAAGCAAAGCAGCTGCAATAAACTGGCTTTTAATAGAGCAAAGCTGTAAGGATAGTTTGAGCAAAAACGTCCAATTTTTTCCCGGATCTTGTTAATCTGCTTGTTCATTCTTACTTTGTAGCATGGCCTGCCAGCGGTCAGGGACCATTCCTATGCACTGTAACAGGGTAACAGGCAGGTCGCCAGGGAACAGAGCGGATGGCGACGTCCTGGGGAGCAGCCGCCTGCCTGGAGGAGGGGGCGGGGCCTACCTTGGGAGGAGCGGCGTCGTTCTCGTTCTTCAGGACGAACCTGCCCTCGCGGTCATCTTTATTCCAATTCAGCTGCACGACCAGGGGCTTCTCTTCCACATCCAATCTTCTTTCTTCTTCAGAACATGAAAGAGAACGGGGGAAGCCGTGGTTACCTGGCGGCTGTGGCTGGCCCACATCCTGACAGGTTCCCTGTGAGAGACAGAGGACCGCCTCGAGGCCGTGCTGTCAGGCTGGAACGCAGCGCACATGCTCCGCGAGCTTTCCCACCTGCCTCGGCGCCTGTGCCCTGTCTGCACACCACCATGCATCCGTCCAGGGCACACCTGGCCAGACACAACTTCCTCACGACATTCAGAAGGGAACTGGGAAACACCAACCAGGGAGGAAACAGTTTCTAGAACAGCCGTGGGCAAACTACGGCCCGCGGAGCCGAAAGAGCGGAGGCTTCTCTTGCTCTCCCCTCCGCTCCTTCCCCAGCTCTGGAAATGAAATTGTCCCATGGGCAACAGGAAGTGCTAACACAGCACAGACGTCCCACTGGTCCTTGAGGCCTTCCTCGTGCATTAACGTTGCGCTTCAGGCACGACCCACGTGGCATCTTCAGGCGTGGAAGTGGCTGCTCTTCTTCCTCGCTCTGAGCCTCTGACCCTCGCCCCTCACATGCGCTTCCAGGACCACAAGCGCCCGCCTCCTGTTCTGTGCTGGGATCAAGTGCTCAGCTGAGTGTCCGTCTTCCTTCCTCCTCAGAACCCAAGCAGCATCGGGCTCACGGAGCCCGGAGAAGGCGGCCACTGAGGCCTCTGGAGAGGCCACCCCGCCTGGCCACCCAATAGGAGCCTCCGGGCGGCACCGGTCAACAGGCGCTGAGCACAGGCTGTGCTCCAAAGAGGGCAGCACAGCTGGGAGGCGGGCCTGCTGTGTTCCGTAAAGGCAGCCGGGACAGGGCCATGTAAAGCATACGCAGACCTACAGAGGCACTCAGTGAACAGGGCGTGCACACAGTGATGAAGCACAGCTAAGTCCAAGTTACTGTCTCATCAACTGAAAACATGAGAAATAAAAACCAGAGTGACAGATCAGTAACTGGATTAAGAAGTCTGAAATTCCTGCTATAAATCAAAATTACCATGATGTTGTCAAGTTTGCACTAGATAAAAGCCCTTGACCCTGCATGCTTAGAGACTAATATTAAGAACAATGACGTCTAAATCACAAAAGCAAACAGAACCCAGGGTGAGGTGCCCTAGCACACACGTGCCTCCCCTGAGTGCCCGTGTCCTCACTTTCAGGTAGCTCCTGCCTTCCTGGATTTCCTACTCTTTTCAAAGATTGCAGTCTTTTTCTTTCTCCAGAGGAAAGTAACTGTGACTAAGAATGGAAGGAGTTTAGGTTTTCATTTCATGCATATTACTTCTTCAAAGAGCCACAAAGTTGTTAGAGCATAAACACTTACTAATTTGTCTAAATCCAGCTACTCAATAATTCAGGGTGTTCGGTATGACCTGAGGCCAAGGGGTGCCATTAAGAACTGCCTGACCCCCAAGGCTCCGTGACCTGGTGAGACTGAGGTCTGCCCAGTGGCTCCCTCCACCGGAGGCCCAGGTGGGACCCTCAGCTCTGAGCACCCAGGGGTGGAAGGACAGGCCGACTGTCCTGGCTGCTCCCTCGCCTCATGGCTGGGGGGAGACCATTTCCTTTTCTTTTTACGCCTCCATGGTTTTCACCTCCTTACAAGTAAGACATTTTACTTTTTTATTAAAAGCAAATCTAATTTTAAAAATCTAAAGGAAAGCGGTTCTTTTAAAAAAAAGCAAAACCATGCTGCTTTTAGATCTTAAATTCCCATCTTGCATCCTGTTACTGCAAAGACTCCACCTGGTGGCTTCCACGGACCAACCAAATGCGGAGAAGTGGAGGCTGTCTTCCTCTCCAAGGTCCTGAGCAAAGGAACACCCCCCGCAGACACCCAGCCACAGCTGTTCTGCGTCACTCAGGGCCAGGATTGCTTGTGTAGGTGAGACCCTGTAACCTTAAGGAAGTACAGTGGGGCCTTGACTTACGAGTTTAATTTGTTCCGAGACCAAGCTTGTTACGGAGGTCGTTAACTCAAATTACTCTGTCAACTCAATGCAAAAAATTGGGGGAGAGACAGCTGGCATCTCAAAAAACTCGTTAGTCGGGACACTCGTAAGTCAAGGCCCCACTGTAATAAACAGCCGGCTGGTGTAGCTCAGTGAGCGTTAACCTATGAACCAGGAGGTCAGGGTTCGCTTTTGTCAGGGCACAAGCACGGGTTGCGGGATCCATCCCCAATGTGGGGTGTGCAAGAGGCAGCCGATCAATGTTTCTCTCTCATCATTGATGCTTCTCTCTCTCTCCCTTCCTCTCTGACATCAATAAAAATATATATTTTTTAAAAAGTAATAAACAACAATGGCTTACATTACATACCACTGGTGGGGGGGGGAGGGGGATGTTTGGCCAAACTTGAATTCCACACGTTACAAAAAATTTTGCCCAATTTCAAATGTACAAAGAAAGCTGTATTTTTTTTAAAGTAAAAACAAACAAAAAATTAAAAAGGATTTGTGGATAGAACTTAACAAGTATTCAAATTAGGTTTGTGTTATATGCAATCCTTTATTTGCTGCATTAATTACATTTTTTGCAGATGACTGGACATTTCTGAAACATTCAAATTTGTGAATTTCTACATTTCTAATCAGTCCAATTTAAACTGTTACTTGATATAGATATATGGAATATTTTCAGATATTTCAAATATTAAAACAAGGAGAAATTACTAGAGCTTCCTCAGACGCCCTGAGTTCCCCACACAGCGATGGAAACGTGCTGTTCACATCACCACCTACAGGAAGACTGGCGACCCATCTCACACACACCTGGGTATCGTTCACTGTGCTGTTACATTCCACACATGAGTGACGCCAACTATTTCTCCAAAAGCAAGGAGCACACCATCATCACGGTCTGTGCCCAGATCTGTGGGCGAGTTACTTAGGAAACGCCACGCTACTTATCTTCAGAGCAACAAGCACGTGTAAAACTACATTCATCCAACTTCCAACAATCATGTGCTGGGGATGCAGAGACCTTTCCCCGACATACAGCAGCTCTCCGCTGCCCACGGCTCCCTGGCTCTCGGGAGGAAGCCAGAGGACCTGGGGAGTGGGGGGAGGGGCCTGCCTGGCAGGAGCGGGGACACTGACCTCCGCTGACGTGCACTTCGTAGAGCGAGTACTTGGGAGAGGACAGCATGCGCATGTCCGGCCGGAACTTCTCGGCCAGCGTCTCGATGACATCCTGCGTGGTGGCCGTGCTAGAGACCCGGATACATTTTGTTGCAAAGTTCCCAGCCGCTTTATCTTGAAAATAAAACCTCATCACTCCATGGAACTCCAGGTCCTAGAAAAAAACAAAACCATACATTTTTGAAAAACAACATTCTGAAAAGATCCCCTTCTTATAACACTAGTAAATGAAAAAGGCAACACACCACTTTTTTTTTAATCCTCCCCAGAAAAGATGTTTTCATTGATTTTAGAAAGAGAGGAAGGGAGAAGGGACAGGGAGAGGGGGAAAGACATCGGTTACCTCCCATGCACGCCCAACTGGGGATCGAACCAGCAACCTAGCTATGTGCCCTGACCAGGAATCGAACCTTTTGGTGTATGGGATGACCCTCCAACCAACTGAGCCACCCAGCCAGAGCAATTCCCCACTTTTTAAAAACGTTCCCTTACCCCACACATCTGAGACAGAAAGTAAGAGACAGGGGATTTGTCTTCAGATGTAATTATGTGACTTGGGACGAGTTATACACAATTGCTCTTTGCCTCACTGGTCTCCTGGGGAAGATAGTGGTTGTAGCGTCGCTGCCGTAGTAACGGCCAACATTTATTGATTCTTCCACAAGTGCCAGCTCCCCTGGGCGTGCATCGTTCTACTACGTCTTTACAGCAGCCCAGTTCAGTAGGTACTAGTAAACCCCACTTCCAAGACCTGGTCATGAAAACTCACAGCTTAAGTGTCTTGCTCAAGCATTTCTGTGACAATCCAGCTCTGCATCCAGACCAGTGAGTGCCAGTCCCTGCCTGTCGGTCCCTGAGCCTGTCCAGCCAAGATCAGAGCAGCAGCACGGGAACGCGGCCTCGTTCCCGCCGTGAACGTGCGTGAAGGAAACTCTAGACTGTGACTGTAACTAATTTCCAAAGTAAACTTCTCGCCCAAATCAGCGTCACAGTGTGGACGGTTCTCAACACCTTCCTTCTAGAGAAACCGACACACGGACTCCAGCCAGCAGCACTGCAGGCGGGCACCAGGGGGCGCCCTTCCCCTCGTCTCCTTCCTTTTCAACCAGGTATTACAGGTCACGTGGGTGAGACCACATGCGTCTCAGGCCCTTGCTGTAGAACACAGGACTCTCGGAGGATCGCATCCGGCAGGCCTTTGTCCACCCATCATCGGGGAGGCGGCAGGGCAGGGCCACCTCCACCGCCGGGGTCAGTCTTGGCTCCAGCACTAATGCGGATCCTGCTGCTGGGCAGGAGTCGTCCTCCCCCTCCCCCCCCAATACCAGGTCGTTCCATCCCCACACGCACCCAGGCCATCCGAGCCTCCTTACAGCCAAGTCAGGCCGCGTCATTCCTCTGCCGCTCTGTGGCCTCCTGCACTCTCGATGCCAAGCCTTGGCCACTGCGCTCAAAGCCCACCCAGTAGCTCCCCTCTGCTTTCCCAACCCACCAGCTACTCTTCACGGATAATTCGGACGTGACAAGTATTGATTTGGAGAAAAGTATGAAAAACAGGATCTTAGAATGGGGTTAACTATATAAACAACATGAAAATTGCACCAGAAAGTGAGACAACAGGCACATTTCCACCCCCAAGCTTCACTCTGTCTGACCCTCCGCTCCCCGCGAAGGGACACGCGTGTTGGGAAAACAGCACTGAGCACAGACTCTGGGCTGGGTGGGGCTTGTCACGGGTGAACCGGCAAATGGGAGCTACATGCAGGTCCTGCTCTGGGCGCTGCACCTCACACCCCTGCCTGTCCAGCCAGCTCTTCAGACGTCCCCCCTCCCAGCTCTGCGTTCCGCTGCGATCCTGAAACCTTCACAGAACAACGCGTGTGAAAGCTGCTCCTGAACCCCCAACTCCTGTGTCACTCAAACTCTCTGCGCCCCGATTCCAGCTCCTCACTCCACCCTCGCCTCCACGGCCCACCCTCTGCAATCAGTCAAGTTCTGCACTCCTGCTTCACTCTCACCCACTGCCTCCTCCAGAGGCCCCTGAATACTTTAGAAAAAACATACATTGAAGTTTTTATTATGGGAGTCCTATTTCTATCCCAGGACGCTGAGGCGTTCGCCGCCACCGCTGGAGTCACCTGTATTTCACGTCAGTCCCAAGCATTCATGGGCACACTGCGACGGCTCCTGCCAACGCTCACCCTGCAGAACCTGTCAGACCAGAAAGGCCAGAGCCTCCAGGGGACGCCATCCTTTTGCTAAAAGACTAGTTGTATATCATTTGTGATGAGAACGAAACAGCTACATACACACCTACGGGTCCCCAAAGACACGGAAGCACCAGTTTCTCTGAGAATTGTCAAAAAACAATTCCAAACTACCAAAGAGTACGGACACGGACACAGCCCCGTGTCTGCGAGGGATGCCAGCTGAGCGAGATCACAAGGACTCAGAGGGAACTGGCAAAGGCCCCCTTTGGAGCAGAGCCCATGTCCTTCATCCCTCATCCCATGAGGCCCCTCCCAGGCAGAGGAGACTGCACACATACAGTCCCAGCATTAATGTGCTTCAGCCTGAAGCTGACCGAGGAAGTGGAGATAAATGGGGAAAAAAAGAAAAAAGAGTTACTCGGACAGCGTGTCAGCAGCAACAGCACTCCTGCCCAGAGCAGAGACATTTAACAATTCAGTTTGCCTGAAATAGCTGCGTACAGTTGTTACTAGAATATTCCCTTAAAAAGTACTTTAGTATTCTGTTCATTTATTCAGTCGACTCTAAGCTTAGCTGCTGTTATTTTACCCAATCTGAGGAGACTGATAAAATCCAGTTCCTGAACCTCCACACTGGGAGGGCGGTGACCCAACGACAGGCACCAGGAACAATTATGACGAACGTGCAGCGGAGGCCCCAGTGCCAGACCGAGAGGCCAGCACCCGCCCGCGCTGAGTGGTGCTAGGACCACCCCTGCGGTGCTCGGCAAGGAGCAGGTCCTCCCATCACAGCTGGCCACACAGCAGGGCCCACAGCCGCCAGCATTCCCGGCCGGAAGCTGGACTCTGCCCTCCGTGCTCGCAGTCGCCCGTCGTCTGAAGGGAGCTGGATGTGATACCAGTGCCTCCCCTTCCTCAGACAGGCCCAGAGGGGCTCCCGAAGAACTAGGTGGGTGTATGAGGAGGAGGAGCCTGGAGTTCAGAGCGGTCTACGACCTGCCCTGACCGCCTGCCTCGTCTCCCAGCCTGTCCCCACGCACAGTGGTAGCCCTGGGGCCGCAGCAGGACAGCAGCTGGCCTTTCACTGAACAGCTCTGAGTGAGTTTATGAGGACGGGAGTGAAGTTCCCCACATAAGCTTGTTTGGGGGAGCGAACAAACCATATCCAGCGTCCAGCCATCACCGTCTGGCCCTCGGCGCTGCCCCCTCCCGCCTCTCCCGCTGCTGTGGGAGCTCCGCCGACAGCCCGAACATGAGGCTGCACACACACAAAGAAAAGCGTTCAGTAACAACATCCGACGCTCCCTTCTCCCCATGTGGCTGTTTCCAACTGATGAGCCCTCTTGAAAACAAACCTTCACAACTCTAAGAAACAGCCTTGAGGTCTCAATGACAGGGCTAATCTATATACATAAAAGGCTAATACGTTAAGTATCCGACCATCTGACCGGTCACTATGACGCGCACTGACCACCAGGGGGCAGAGCTCAACGCAGGAGCTGCTGAGCTGCAGTGACTTGGCAGCGGTGGTTCTTGGGTGATGCACCCCAAAACCAGAGAGGAGGGAGCCCGATTCCTCACGCGGCCACTCGTTTCCACCTTCGGCCGTAGGTTATGTTGTTGCTGGGGCACTGTCGACCCCGAATCTGGCTTACTGCACACTGATGTTTGCATTCCACACCCTGTACGACAGCAACTCTTCAGAGTGCCCTCTCGCACTCCGGGGATGTCCGAGAGCCGGTTTCGGCCCAATCCCCACAGGCCAGGCTGAGGGACCCCCACCTGCCGGAGGGACCCCGCTCACCCTGCAGACTCCGGAGAAGGACCACGGGAGGTTGGCTCCAGGGCGTGTCTGGCCCGTCTCGCCCAGTCCCACCTGCTGGCCACCTTCTAATTAATTTCCTTTCACTGTGCACGAATCCGTGCACCGGGTCACTAGTGTTCTGATAACGCTGTAGCCAATGATTATAATTTACAAAGACAGATGTTTGCTTCAAAAAAAGCACTCGCTCCTTAGAGCTGGTCACCAAACCACCCAGGAGAAAACTGTATTTAAAATAAAAACACAGCTGCAGGTCCTCCGATCTGTCACTGAAGTGCCTGCTGTTAGCAGCTGCTTTCAGGGCCTGCCTGCACCCGCGCCAGCACAGTTGGTATGCGGTGGCCCTGTGTGCTACCTGCAGTCGTTGAACTCAAAGGGCAGCGAAGGCCGTACAGCCACCACCTGCTCCCTTCCTTCAGGTTATTTTCTGGCCTCCGTTAAAACTGCTGCAGAAAGTCAGCCACATGACCACCGAGCCAATGACCTTGTCCATGTGGTGTGATCACGTGCTCATCATTCCCTGAACACTGCTTACGAACGGAGTCCTGGGTTGAATATGTAGACTACAGGTACAGCGATGTATTCCTTATTTAGGTGGGCGAAACTACAGTGGTTTTTCCAACATATGGCCTATCCACTTAGTCGTGTTAAAAATAACAGTGAATTAACAACAATAAAATAACTAGTTAATTTAATAAGCAAATCTTGGTTAAAAGCATTTTAAAATTAATAGGGTGTTAATTTTCACATAAGATATACAGACCAGAAATTTTGTCCATTAAATCTGAAGTTCGTTAAATTGAGGTCCGCAAAATCAAGGGTTTACTGTGTTACAACAGAAATGGAACACTACTTGGAATTGATTTAAGGACAACTTTTAATGTTTAATATTATGAAATTACTAGAGAGCCAATGCAGGAAGCAAAAAGTTAGAGATGGAGATTTTCTTTTGAATATTTTATCAGTGTCTCATGAACCAGTGAACGCGACCATCACTGGCCTCCACGCCGCTCTGGCAGGAACTGCCCAGGCAGCATGGTCCCCTTTCGCTCGAGCTGACCAGCACCACCGGGTCTGCCCTTCAGCAGGCCACCGCGCCTGTCCCTTTTCTTCTCACCGTGGCCAACACGGATCTGAACCCCG